TGCATCTAATTTCATCGCACATTTAAAAGGAGTATTACAAAGAAATAAATATAAGAAAACAAAAATAATGAAAATGCGAAAAAATACCAATAAGTAGAAAGGGAACTAAACAACATAATAAATAATATCTCAGCATTGGATAGTGGAATGTATGATATGTTTATGCGTGGTGACAGTAAAGCTATAATCATACTAGAAGTTATGAAACGATATTTAAGAATGTTCATCTCCAAGCTGAACAGTTAATTTGATTGAACAACACTAAACAATCATAAAATGAACATTTCAGGTTGTGTTTTTTATTGTCAGCACTAATGCGGTGTTTGTAGTGGTAGTGTGAGGAATCATGCATAATACAAAATTTTAAGATGGTGGTACCGGCGTTCACAACCAAGATTTCAGGATTTCATCATGAGCTGACATTAGTTAGAGAACAATTGGAAAACCTGGGAGTACTGGACAGTCAGCTGTTTCGTCCTAGTTTGGGACCCTTCAGCAGTACACACCCACCGGGATTCAAACCCAGGACCTTCCGGTTACAAGGCCAGCGAGCTCGTATACCATTAGGCCACTGGGACCCGATCCAATGGTCCTTGAATTCTAACTTCGTATGTACTGCTGAAGAGTCCCAAACTAAGACGAAACAGCTGACTGTCCAGTACTCCCAGGTTTTCCAATTGTTCTCTAACTAATGTCAGCTTATGATGAAATCCTGAAACCAATCAAATCCCTACAAACCAACACTTGAAAACCAAGATTGTCAGTTAATATTGCCGAACAAAAAACAAACCACAAAACTAATATTACATGATGGTTATTGACAGGATAATTTTGTAATACTCATAGTTATAATATAGTCGGAACCAGTAGATACACAAAAGAAGGAATAGAGTAAAGTACAAAAAGTAAGCCAGTGATAATAATATTAAGTAGCTAAGTATGTTTAAGAAGGTTGTTCACTATAGAGTACAAATAAGAGAGTGTAAGGGGAAATAACAAGGGCCAAAATTATGTTATTAACAACAGAGCAAGTCATAAGTTTCACGCCTAACATTGTCTCTGTCACTTAGAACACGGGCTGGCCAAATATGGTATCGTTGAGTTCCTATACTTGGTTGTACAAGCATATATTATTTTGTACTAATTTCTGGTTCTACCTGATGAGATGCAAGGAGAGAGTTGGGAATAGAGGGGATGTTGGGGGTCGGAGACTATGGTTTTAGTCCATTTCTCGCATGTATTCACATGCCTTTCTACTAATGTAGTGACGAGCTGACTGAGTTTTACACCGCTAGTCCTACTAACTACCTTCAACATCCTTCTCAGGATGGTATAGTCCTTTTTCATTAGCCCAGGAAAGACTAACGGGGAACAGTAAAGTAGAATAGGTAGGATACGAGAGTTGACAAATTGTGAAAGTAGAGATGAAAAGATACGGAATCCAAGTACTGGGAATATGTGAAAGCAGATGGAATGGGAATGGACTCACCAAATTGTCAACGGGTGAGTCAGTGATCTACTCCGGTCACCCAGAAGATAACCACACGCACACCGAGGGCGTGGCTATCATGATGTCACCAACGGCAACGAAAGCCCTGATGCAATGGGAGGCGATCTCGTCCAGGATAATGACCGCCAGATTCAACTCCAAAGGAAGGAAAGTGTCAATCATACAATGTTATGCACCCACAAACAACGCAGACCTCGAAAAGAAAGAAGAATTCTACAGACAACTACAGGCAACAATGGACAATACTCCAGCTGGCGACATGAAAATACTAATGGGAGACATGAACGCCAAACTGGGACCAGACAACACAGGAAGGGAACTCATCATGGGTAGAGAAGCTCTCGAAGAAATGAATGAAAATGGAGAACTCTTCGCCGACTTCTGCGCCTTCAACGAACTAGTGATTGGTGGCAGTGTATACAAAGATATCCACAAGGCTACATGGGTGTCACCAGACGGGCAAACCAAAAACCAAATCGACTTCATCTCAATCTCAAGGAAGTGGAGGCGCAGCCTACTGGACACAAAAGCAAGAAGAGGAGCAGACGTTGGCTCAGACCACTATCTCGTACAAGGGACAATCCAAATCAAATTAAAAGCTTTCAGAGAAGGAGGAGCTGCAGATAGACCACAAGCCAAGTTCAACACTCAAAAGCTGAAGGACCAGGCTACAAAGGACATCTTCATTGCAAGCATAAAGGACAAAGCCGAGACACAAATCAACACCAGCGAAAAGGTCAGCGTCGAAAAGCACTGGAACAACTTGAAAACGGTGTGGAGCCAAACCTGCATAGAAATTCTAGGCAGAAAAAAGAGACAGGACAAACAGTGGCTCACTACGGACACTTGGAAACTAATAGAAGAGAGAAGGACAGTGAAGCAAAAGATTATCCAGTGCACTGACGAGCAACAAAAACAGGAGCTGAATGCAAGCTACAATACACTGAACAAAAGAGTGAAGAAAAGTGCCAGGGAAGACAAAAGAAAATATTATGAAACCATGGCAAACGAAGCAGAACAAGCTGCAGGCAAAGGAGACCTCGCCACACTCTACCAAACAACTAGGCACCTTTCGGGCAAACGTTCGACACAGATTAAGCCAATAAAGGACGACAATGGAAAGTCAATCACCAAAGAGGTGGAGCAAAGAAAACACTGGGCTGAACACTTCAAAAGACTTCTAAATCGTCCGCCACCTACAACACGCCCAACAATACCAACAACGGAAGCAGAACTACCAGTGAACACTGACCCCCCGACGAAATCAGAAGTCCTGAATGCAATCAAGATGCTAAAAGCTGGAAAAACACCAGAACCAGATGGAATCCCAGCAGAAGCTTTGAAAATAGACCCAGAGACAACAGCGGACTTGATGACCACTGCTGGAGAAGGTGTGGAAAGAGGGCAAAGTACCCGAGGATTGGAAGAACGGATACTTATTCAAACTACCAAAGAAAGGAGACTTAAGTCAATGTAAAAACTGGCGTGGAATTATGCTTCTGTCCATTCCAAGCAAAATACTAAGTCGCATCATCCTGGAGAGAATCAAACAAGCCAACCTAGATGAAAAACTTCGTCCGGAACAGGCCGGATTCAGGAGAAACAAATCATGTATTGATCAAATCGCCACTCTACGGATCATCATTGAACAAAGCTTGGAATGGCAGTCACCTCTCTACCTCATCAACTTCATCGACTTTGAAAAGGCCTTCGACAGCGTCGATCGAGAGGTCATTTGGAAACTACTTCGCTACTACGGGGTCCCATCGACAATTATACATCTCATCCAACAGTTATACGACAATGCTGCATGCCAAGTAATCCACAACGGGAAACTTACGGAAGCCTTCGAAGTGAGGACGGGAGTAAGACAAGGCTGGCTGTCTACTATCACCAATGATTTTCCTGATTGCAGTAGATTGGATAATGCGATAGACAGCTGGCCAGGCAGTGAGGAAACAGTCGTAAAATGGACTCACACAGAAATAGAACTTGGAGGATGTGGACTTCGCCCGCGATGATATATGTCTGATTTCCCACAAACTGGAGGATATGCAAGTGAAAAGCAACAAGTTGGCACAAGAAGCATCAAAGATAGGACTATAGGTGAACATAGATAAGACAGAGGTGATGAAGATCCCTGGGTAACACCAACACCAACACCAACAGCAACAGCAACAATAACAACAGACAACAATCAGCCATCATAAATGGGAGGAACCTGAAAGAAACAACCTCCTTTACCTACCCACCTACCTGGGAAGCATCGTTTCAACTACAGGCCCACGGAACTGACGAGGATATCGAAGCCAGAATCGGAAAAGCAAAATGAGCTTTCATTACCGTTAAGTCTGTGTGGCGGAGGTCAACAGCACTCAGCATGAAGGTGAAAATAGGATCCGGATTTTCAACTCCAATGTGAAGTCAGTCAGTGCTACTCACTACACAGATCAGAAACCTGGCGAGTCATAAAGAGCACCTTAAACAAACTCCAGACCTTGATCAACAGTTGTCTTCGCTCAATACTCAAGATCAGATGGCTGGCCAGAAAAGATCAGCAACAGGGATCTCTGGCAATGAGTGAACGAACCCAGCAGGAACCGATTGTGAGACAAATAGGCAGGAAGAAATGGAGATGGATTGGCTGGCCATACTCTGAGGAAACACACCATCAAGTGACATCACTAGACAGGCCATTGCTCGAGTTGGTCGTCCAAGGGTGACTTGGAGGATGTCATGAGAGGAGGAGATGAAAGCATGTGGGCAGACTTAGAGCGGGGCGAGAAAGCTGTCAGAAAACAGTAGGCAATGGAGGTGCGCAGCTGAAGCCCTATGTTCCTCTAGGAACTTAGGGATGAAATAATAATAATAATCTTAATGTAGCAGGTTAGACGGAACACTTTCTTAGAAATCGTTAGGATATGAGATGTCCATTTAAGGTTGGAAGATAAAACTAGAGCGAGATATTTTGCATTAGACTTAGTTTCTATTTTAGTCTCCTCAATGCTACAGGGGACAAGTGTGATAGAACTAAACAATTTTATGCATTGAAATCTTCAAGTGGTATTTATAAACTGCGCATTTTGACATAATTCAGTACACAATAATTCTCAATTAAAAAAACTTCTTGACACCATTTCTCTGTGTCATGAGAATTCCCTGTGACAGCGTAAAACAGCTGATCCGTCTTAAGTTAGAATTTGTAAAGAATTATTTAAGTCATATAACACTAAGTGAATCCTGTATTATAACTATTTTTAGCCCACTGAATATGACCTCATCATTATTAATTAACAGTTACAGAGAAATACAAAAAAAAAACTTCATATGATGTTCAGCTTTTGTGCATTTTTATACACATAAATGCGCGCATAGAAGACCCCATTACAGTGTCAGTTCAACATGTGATTCTAATGATACTGAGCAGGGAAGCAGAGAAAAGAAGAGATAAATACTGCTGTACACAAAACATTACAACAATAGTTATACTATGAAACAGAAATCAGGCAGCATTATCAGTTGTGATCTAACTGGTAGTAGTACTAATAACTACTACACGAGTAGTGATAATGGCAGTTGTTTTAATGACAGTGGAAATCTTAGTCCTACAGCAATAAACCTTTTGCCGAAAAATTTGTTAGACAGTCCAGTATCTCACGGTCAACAGTGTTTACAGTCACCTTCGTCGCCTATATCATTTATGAAGAAACAAAAGAAGTCGTCTTTTCAAATTCCTGTTATGAAGTTGAAATCGAATTATGAAAACAATATACAAGTTGAAATTATGTCAGACAATATGTCTAACACGAAAGTTAACAAAAGTAACAAAACAACAAGTGTTTGAAAGGATTTTACTTAAAGACAACAAAATCCAATCTTAAATTTATCATTGAAGATCCATATATCATTGAAAATTTAATTCTCTTACCAATGACCCGGTCATTTATTCATTTGTCAAAGAGATTTGAATGGGATTTAAAAGATGCTAAATCGAATTTTAACTTGAATAAAAAAGCTGTTGTCAGATCTACTCGGTTGAGCAACACAAGCAGCAGCGGTAGTTGTAGTAGTAGCAGTAATTACGTCACAGATGACTCACCATCGTCATCAGCGCCATCGTCACCGACGTCAGTATCACTTTCTCACCAGCATATGAAGATAAATCACAGGAAACATCTTCTTTTAAAGTTATACGAAGACTATCTTGAAACGTATGGATATTCAAAACGTTCAAAATTATTTGTTAAATATGCTATGAGAAATTTTCCTGAATGTGAAGAAAAAACCACTTTGTTAAAATTAATAAACAAGCATAAATTATCGATTAATTCATTGCATTATTCATATGAATTATCTAAAAATCACATTGATGATATTAGTAATAATAATAATAACATGAATTATGAGACTTCTGATCACTTTTCAAAGGCTGGTAGACTTTCATCACCATCATCGTCATTTTCAGGGAAATCAATTTCATCATTATCGTCGTCATCAATTTCAGCCTTGTATTCACCTCAGTATCCTTATCAATATAGATCATTTTTAACGAATGATTATCATCAAGGCTGGAAGTATTATAACTATCACCAGTATGATCAAAGTTGTTCACCAGAATTATTTGACGATTATTTAGTAGATACATCGAATACTCATATTCCTTCAAAAGTTACTTCATCAAATCTTTTAAACTACAAAATACAACGAAGCAACATCTTGACACGTTTTAATTTCAAAAAGACGAAGACGGTAAGTGAATGATAAATTGAATTGTCATTTTTTTTTATTGAATTCACTAATACTATGGACATGATTAAATATTCTTAAATATTCGTAGTTCGCACCCACTAGGGTTCGGACCCAGAACCTTCCGATTAAAGAGTTTTAGCGTGACCACCAACCAGTGTCATCGACGGGAAATCTATCTTCACACTTGACTGGATGGACCTGACTGACTAGTCACGACTTCTCACTAGGACTCCAGGATACTCCGTCCAGTAGGAAGTCACTAGCGAGCATCAGATTAATTTTGAAAATGATGATGATTCCCAAAACTAGGATGAAACAGCCATCCAGTACTCCAGGGCTGGATTTCAATGGTTCTCTAACTGATATCCATCCGTCATCAACTCGTCACAGTAAATATAATTCTTACAAACTAACTGTTGAAAATTCTTATCGTTTAAGTTATCATCAGTTTATATACTGTCAAACTATGAAAAGAGAAAGAAAAACAGGGGGGTGAGAGAAGACAGAAAACAGAAAAAATCTAATAAACAGTGTCAACATGACAACTCAAGAAGGTCAAAGTTCATCAATTTGAAAACTTGTTTAGTGAGTTGAGCTCACTAGTGTGTATGACTAATCAGCGTAATGAAAGTGTAATGCACTTTGTAAAAGTACACTTACCAGACATCTTGTGGATACTGGTCATTTTGTCGAGATTTCCAAATCTTTCAAAATATTAAACTACCAAGGACAGCTAATCTACTACGATTTAATGCTGAAGCAATTGCAATCAAACGTCACAGACCAAACTTATGCGTACAGAAAGAGAGTGTGGTCAATCTCTCACTCCCTTGGTAACCATATTACTTTTATTACACTGATTAGTTATACACACTGGTGAGCTCAACTCACTAAACAAGTTTTCAAATTGATGAACTTTGACCTTCTTGAGTTGCCATGTTGACACTGTTTATTAGATTTTTTCTGTTTTCTGTCTTCTCTCACCCCCCTGTTTTTCTTTTTCTTCATAGTTTGATGGTATTTAAACTGGTGGTAACAAACTATAAATTGTAATATTCATAATCCGGGTGCGTTCGTCCTTTAATGTTTTCTCTATTACCTTTCAAACAATGAAGTATGAAATGTTATTATTTATAACCATTGTAATTTCAGCTGGTTTGGAGCTGATGAGAACCTGTGAAATAGAATGATGATATCATTTTATACTGCAAATCTGGTCTTTCTTTCTCTACCGAAATTTATCAAGGGAAGCAAATGTATAAAAATTCTTATATTCATTAAACTAGTTAAATTGTATCAATATTCGTGCAAACCATCGTAAATCTTAAACATGCTAAGAAGTGAGCGCCAACTAGCACGAAACCTAGGTCAAGCAAGGCTTCCTGTGGCCGATTGCCTCCAACCATCTAATATCATCAAAATCAATGTGCACCGTGGTGGTGGCGAGCTACATAGAATGGTGACCACATTACAAACCTGACTGATAGAATTCAGTCTGCACCAAAAAAGGGGACTAGACACATCACACTAGTTACTAGTGTCAAGTCAGGAATAGCTAGCTGTACACTGTCATGATGTTTTTGAAATATATTGTCCTATGGTTAATAAATAACGCGAGTGTGGGATGATAACACCTTGAGGAAATATTATTTTCTACGAGTTGATCACGGATTGATATCAGTTAGAGAACCATTGAAAACCAGGGAGTACTGGACAGCTGCTGTTTCATCCTAGTTTGGGAATCATCGGCAGTACGTACCCACTGGGTTTCGAACCCAGGACCTTCCGGTTACAAGGCAAGCTCGTATACCATTCAGCCACTGGGACCCGATTCAATGGCTCGTGAATTCTAACTTCTACCAATTCGTGATTTAGCGCGACCCCAACCATTGTCGTTGGTGGGACATCCATCCTCACACGTGACATCTAATTGGACCTCACTGGTCACGACTTCTCACTAGAACTCAGGAAACTCCAACCTGTAGCAAGTCACTAGCGAGCATCAGATTAACTTTCTATAGTTTGGTTTGTAAGGATTAGTTATGTTTTACGAGTTGATCACGGATTGATATCAGTTAGAGAACCATTGAAAATATTATTTTCATTTATGAGATAGTATCAAATGAAGCGACTACGAGAAACGGTTAATAACCGTTATGAATATGCCTGAGTGATATCTGAATCTGCTTATTATTGGGTATACTTGACAGTATTGCTAAGAAAAGACAGTGGTAAAGGATTCAAACTCTTCTGAATATCATAGGGCAAAGTTTGAGAGGTTTTAGTATACACTATATGGACAAAATATAAAATGACACGCTAAAATACATATGTACTAAAGTAAATGCATAAAATGGAACCTGATGTCATCTATCAGCATTGTTATATTGATAGCTAACAAGATTTCATCAGAATCATTAAGTGCTTATTTCATATTTACAAAATTCCTTCATTTAAATAGTTAGTTATCATTTAAAAAGTGACTATACTAATCATTACTGTGTATTTTAGACGGGTCTTATGTAATTCCATATTAGTTTGTTTATTAGATGTATCACACAGTGAAACAGTATTATTTACTGGATATTTTCCAGAGATCTGGGACAGGTGTTGAATCATTCCTATTACATGTATTTGCAGTTGATTCAATGAACAAAGCTTCTGTTATCAATCTCTCCCTCCACCGTATAATATTAGATTTTAAAACTTCATCCTACCCCGTCCTATTGTATGGTTGTGTGTAACTGTACTCGCTTGGGCGGTACATATACTAAAATTGGAATGGTACAAAGAAGATTAGCATGGCCCCTGCACAAGGATGACACGCAAAATTGTGAAGCGTCCCATATTTTCTTGGGTTACCCAACCTGTCATACGCTCTGATGGTGTTCTCGTGAATTTTGTTGCCAGATCTGCCAAGGGCGATGGGATAGTACGCGACCCAATGGTTGTGTGCAAGGTCTGAAGAAGGCTGTGTGCTATATCCATCTGTTTATTGCGTCGGTGGCATAGCGGTTAGTATGCTCGCCAACCATGTACATGATCCGGGATTCGATCCCTGACCGACGCACTCCTTTACCTCGCTAAACCAGTAATAAGACTGGTATAGTGGAAAGGTTGGGCGTGAGACTAGCAACCCCATCCTGTAAAATTAAACACTGCTACAGAAAGCTCAAGCCATCAGCTCGAGGCCCTATGTTCTACTGGGAACGTGAAGGAAATAAAAAAACAATCCCATCTTATTGTAGGGTTGTGTGTAATTTCATGTAGTGCTATGTACGACTGAACTATTCTCCAGATTTATTATCTTATTAGGGTCAGTAATTCTAGATTTTGCTAGGTTTTGAGCTCCGCTAGTCTGACTGCCCCTGTTCTACTGGTCTGACCTATGTATTTGGATCTCAAGTAAAAGATTATATAAGTAAGCACTGCTGGAAAGTTATTGAATCAAAGAGTAAATGGATTTCAAGTTAATTACAGTAAGTCACTGTCTCCCCAAGTTCTGAGTGGTAGTAATGATAAAATAATTCGATCATTTAAAATAATTATTTACTTCAGTCTTGTGTAAAACTATAAGTTGTCTCACTGACACGTTTTTTGCTAAAATACTAGAAATTCATGCTAGGCGATTGATTGTAAGTACAATAGTCACGAATCTGTGCTGATTACTGTAAAGTAACCCTTTTTCACTGCATAACAAGCTTTCTACTCTTTCGTTTCAACATATGTGAATAGGTGGAATGGAAGCGGTCAATAAAGGTTTGAATTTTATCGGGTAGTTGGTCTTGTTTAAAGGAACTCTGTAATCATACTAGACATTATGTTCGGCTGTGTATCTACCAGTTTGACTGTTCCTGTGGAGCCAGTTATATAGGCCGTACAATTAGGTGTGTTTGTCTTCTTGGATTTCCAAACATGATCCTGCAAAGCGGTTAAATAGTGGACAAACAAAACCCATTCATATAGCGCTGTTCTATCTCATCTTGTGGATAGAGAAGAACACAAGATTGATGTTGACGACGCTGCTTCCAAAGTCATCTCTATGGCATACCAACAAATCTTAACTTCACCTTAAGAGTTCATCTACTACATATTGCTTAAGCTTTTGGGATCTACGCTACGAAACCTAAGTTATGTATCCAAAAGAAGTTGATTTAAGATTTTATTGATCTTCAATTTGTTGTGGAGATTTCTTTAATTTTATTTGACATTCTATTTGCTATTACATTTTGATGCTTATTATTGTAACTTATGCATCATTCTTGAACTGTAAATCTACTGAACTTGCTTAACAAACAGATGGTAGATATGATAGAGAAGAATTGTAGCTGAGGTGGATAATTTTGATGTGGTTGTATCCTCTGAACTGGATAGTTAATTTGCGAAGCTTTCATCGCTCTAATAGGCGACATCTTCTGCGCATACTTCAATTTGAAGTGAGCTTTTAGATTTCTCTACGGGTTTATTAATCATCTCTCCTGGTGGGCGACCTTGGACGTGATTGGTTGTTTTTGTGTGTTTTCGCACCTTCTAGGTTACTTGTATTGAAACTGATTGTCTTTTTGAAATCGAACTTTGACCCTTTGTGTGTGAGGTTTCTTTCTCGTCGGTTGATAAATTTTGTCTATCTCGATGTGTCTATTGATTGATGACTCACTGGTATATCAAGTGGGCTTCTAAAAATTCTCTAACATTCTTGTTGTTTCACCTGTCTAATATTTGAATGTTGGCTGTCCCAGTCGAATTGATGTCCATGGTTGTCTGTACGTAGTTATATGAGGGAGTGGATATCATGTCTTATGTTCATGGATACGGAGACGAAGGGGACGTCCACTTTGGCCAATGTAGTGTTTTTCGCAGTTGTTACAATTTATTTTGTAGATGATGTTGGTTTTATCTTCTTTTGAAGTTGAGTCTTTTGGTTGACATAGAACTGAGTGAAGTGACTTTGTTGGTTTCTGTACGACGTCAATTCCTAAGGGTTTGAAGAGTCTTGTAGT